GAGGCTTCCCCCCCCCGGGCTCGCCTTCCGTCCCTCCCCGCTGCGTTATTAATATCCAGCCCCAAAGGTGCGCCCAGCCCTCCCCGGCCGCCCGTTAACCCTTCGGGGCCCGGAGCTCCGGCGGGCGAGGGGGACCCCACCAGCCCCAGTTGCAGAGGGGAGAGGTGTAGATGGGACCCCCCCCCCCCAGTCGGTCTCATCCTGATCCAGGACCCTCCCGGTTACCCCGGGATGCTGGGGCAGGGGGGGCTTCGTCCCACTGGGGGTCCCTGCTTAGCGATCGGTAGATGCAGCGAGATCTGCTGCTGGGGGGGCTTGGGGTGTCAGGGGCTGGTAGAGGCAAGGGTGCTGGGTGCCTCCTCCTCGTACTCAGCACCCACGGCCACCCCCCACCCGGGCACACCCAACCCGGAGCTGAAGGAGTTACGGTGCTGGGGTGCGGGTGTCCCTTGGGGTGTCCCCACCGCGGGGCACAGCAGAGCGGGCAGGATGGTGGCCCGGGGGTGCGCAGGGGACGAGCTCCCCGGATGGTTCATCGAGGACGCGGGCAGCGGGATGCTCTACAAGCGGGGACGGCTCCTGGGAGAGGTAAACCCCCCATCACCCCCACACCGGCCCCGGCCCTGCACCCCCAGACAGACCCTCACCCCAGCCAGCACCCCCTCCCTGCTGGGCACCCTGGTGGTGTCACACACTCGCACCCCACAGGGCTGCAGGGGGTCCCCGAGGTGTCCCATCCCGAGGGGGACCCACCACATCCCCTCTGGGGAAGGGGAAACTGAGGCAACGGGGAGATGCTGGGAGCGAGCCAGAGCGGAGCAGGTGCCTGGGGCCAGTGCCAGCCACGTCCGTCCCCTGGGCTCCTTGGCCCTCGGTGAAGCGCATGTAGCCGGGCACCCCCACACCCGGGACCCCCTTCTGCCGCAGCCTCTCACCCCTCGGCTGGCCCCAGGGTGCCGGGGGCTGCTCACTCCTGCGGGATCATCTTCGCAGGGCACCTTCGGGCGCTGCTACCAGCTGACGGAGGTGGCCAGCGGCAGGGTCTACGCTGCAAAGGTCATCCCACGAGTCCGGCTCACCACGGTGGGCATCGGGGAGAGGGTGAGTCTGGGGGACACACAGAAAGTCCCCAGGGAGGTGGGGGTGATACCCACGGAGACCCCTCAGAGCTCTGCCCTTGCCCCTTCTCCCTCCTTCCCGGGTCGCTGGATGGGTTCCCATCCCCGTCTCCCCAAGGGTGCATGCCGTGGGTCCCCAGATCCAGAGGGTTCCCTGGGGGGGGGGCTGCTGGGCTTGTGCCGATGCAGGTGGAGCGGGAGCAGGAGCTGCACGGCCGCCTGCGCCACCGGCACATCGTCCGCCTCCACGGGCACTTCGCCGACAGCAGCCACATTTACCTGCTGCTGGAGTACTGCAGCCGGCGGGTGAGCGAGCACCGGCACCCCAAAACGGAGCATCCCCATGCCAGGGCTTTGCCAGGCCCCAAGCTGGCACCTCGCTCCGTCCCCAGTCCCTCGCCGACATCCTGCGGGCCCGGGGAAGGCTGACGGAGCCAGAGGTGCGGTACTACCTGCGGCAGATCATCTCAGGGCTGAGATACCTCCACGGACAGGGCATCATCCACCGGGACCTCAAGCTGAGTGCGTGGGGCAGAGCCGGGGCGGTGGGAGGGTGAACTGCACCAGTCCTGCTTGGTCTCATCTCTCTCCGCAGGCAACTTCTTGGTGACCGAGAAGATGCAGGTGAAGATCGGGGATCTGGGGCTGGCACGGCAGGAGGCACCAGCTGGCCGGCGCTGGGGGTGAGTGGGGCTGCGGTGCTGCCGGGAGGGCTGCTGGGCTGGGGCTCACCGTGCCTGTCTCCCCAGGGCGCTCTGCGGAACACCCGGCTACCTGGCCCCGGAGGTTTTGGACCGCAAGGGACATGGGGTGCCCTCAGACGTCTGGGCTCTGGGCTGCGCCATGTAAGCAGGGACCTGGAGGGCAGGTGGGGGGGGTGCTCCCAGTCCTACTGAGCAGCCAGACCCCCCCAGGTACACGGCACTGACAGGCAGCCCCCCGTTCGAGGCGGCTCACCGGCAGGAGCTGTACTGGCGCATCCGAGCGGCTCGGTACCCGCTGCCCCCCCACCTCTCACCCCGCGCCCGGGCCCTCATCGCCCGCTTGCTGGCCCCCGAGCCCGCGGCACGGCCCAGCCTGCGGGACGTGCTGGACCATGGATTCTTCACCCAGGTGCGGGGCCGGCACGGGGGACACAGCCCACACGGACACAGCGGGGGGACAAGGGGGTGTCATTGCCTCTTGCTCCCCAGGGCTTCACGCCGGACAGGCTGCCACCCCATGCCTGCCGCTCGGTGCCCATCTTCGTGGGACAGGACCCACTGTGCAGACTGCTGTGGGGGGCTGCCACGGCGCTGGTGAGGGGGTGGCCGTGCCAGGAGCGCCGGGACTCACCACCCTGCCATCCCGAAGGACAGCCACCTTCCCCCTGCAAAAGAGAAGCTTCCTCGGCAGGACCTGAGCCATGCAAACATCCGCTTAGGAAAACCTTTATTAGCGCTAGGAACCGTCTAAAATCCAGTCATTGAAACAAGCAGGATGGGACGTGACCATTACGAACGGCACACACACACCAGTTCGCCCTTAGAAAAGGTTAACAGAAAAAAACAAAAACCAACCAAACCCCAAAGGGACCTCTCTTCCCCACCAGCCTGGGACGGGATGGGGACGAGGAGCTGGGGAGGGAGAAGGTGCAGCTCCAAGGAGCCCAGTTCCCAGCATTGCTCCTGGGGATCACCCATGCACAGGGAACAGCAGTGCTTGGAGAGGCATCAGGTCCCCCTGCTCTGCCTGGCCGCAGCCTCCAGCAGCACCTCTCACCGCACTGCCAGCAGCAGGGGTTACTGGAGGGAGGAACAGAGTTATTTGTGGCCTGGGAAGGAGGGAGGAAAGTGCGCGGTTTCCCTGTTGAGCTTCAGTTCTCTCCCTTGAGAGGAGAGGTCTGAAAGAAAATGCTGAAAGCTCAGTAAAACATGACACTTAAAACACCACAGCATCAACTCGAGAGCGCCCGGCCCTGCGCAGCCGGCACCTGAAACACAGACACTTGCCTATGCCTAAAACAGAGGGTGGGGACAAAGACAAGATGCTCAATGTGGCCCCAGCTAACACTAAGGAGCCACTTCGCTGCTTACGGACCTGTCCACATGTCAGCACAAGAGGGGACCAGCAAGGGAGGGTGTCACTGGTCTTCCCGTGTCACCAGGGGTGTCTGGGGGAGGGAGGTGATGGCAACGACTTTGTCTGCACTTGGGGCGAGCTTTCTTCCAACACCCTCATCAGCGGCTGTGGGGAAGGAAGCCAGAACCGCTCCGGTGATGCAGCCCAGACAAGAGGAGAAGCAAAGGCAACAGGCCAGCTGGGGAGGGAGCCACAGCGTGAGACCCTGGGGAGGGATGGCAGCTCCCACACGTAGCCCTGACGAGGGCGGTGGGTGCGAGCACAGCACCCTCTGTGTGCTCAAACCACAGAAGAACTGCAGGGACCAATCCTGCAGCCATCAAACGGCGTCACACAAAGCACCTGAGGCTGGAGGTGGGCTGGGACACCAGAAAATGAGATCTGCCTTCAGTATCCTGTCACCACAAAACCCCTCGCACTGGTGGGAGCTCGCAGCTCCCCTCTGAGGTCCTCGGCTCCCCTCCACTACCAAGGAAGGGGCCTACCTTCCACCTGCCCCACACCCTCGCTGCTAAAAACCTTTCCCAGCCTGCACGTGATTCCTACGTGAGCAAAACCTGAAATCGGCCTTTGCCCATGGGGTCAGTGCTCTCCTCCAGCAGCTCCAATGCACCGCCCTGCACGCATCAGCAGAGCTGTACTCCAGCCTGCTCGGGGATGGCAGCACCGGGAGGAACGGCACCGCAGAGGCGAGCAGAGGGAGGCACGCCGTGCCATGCCACCCCACGCCATGCGGGCACCAGTTTTAGGGTTCTTGGGGACAGGGGAACAGCTGGGGGGGGCAGGTGGCACAGCCCGGCTGCTCCCAAGGCTGGTCAAAGGGCTGGCTGCCATCCCCCAGCTCGGCGCCGCACCCAAAGCCCAGCCGCTCAAGGCCTGGCACAAAGCCCACTTGATATTTTTATCCCCGGTATCCGTGTTGTTTGAAGCTGTCCACTTGTTGTTGGCTTTTTTTTTTTCCACAGCCCTCCCCTGTCCCACCCTGGCTTAGAGGTGACAGCAATAACAACACACCCTCTGCTGCTATGACCGGAGCCCAGAAGGCATTGGCTGCCCTAAGATGGCCCTGGGCACAGCATCCCAGCAGTTCCGATACAGCCTGGGAGAAAGTACAACCTCCCGAGGACGTCTGGCAGCGCACGGGGGCCAGGCCACGCTCCCCAGATCCCCTGTTCTGGGAAGAGCTGTACCAGCCCTTTCTATCCCCCTCCCAGGCCTGCTGCCCCAGCAGGAACATCTGAGGGGCTCAGGGCAGGACGTTCCAGTAAATGCAATGGTTTTTAAGCTCTGGGATCTCCCCATCTTTATTCCACAGCCACCAGCTGCCCAAAGATGGGAGAGCACGACTTCCAACGAAGCTTCTCAGGCTGCTTGTTTCGTGTTCTGAACAGTAAGTCTGCCCCAGGGCACAAAACAAGACAAGCCCAGTGGGAAGTCTCATTTCTTAAAAAGAAGGGATTTTAAAACAATGATTCAAGTTTGGTAACTCCTCTCACCCTCCTCCCCAGCTATAAATGAGGCCGAAACTCACCCTTGTGCAGCAATCAGGTTCAAAGTTCAGCCAATTTGTGTGGGCTACCAAAAGCCCCAACCCCCTCGGAGGGGGTGACAAAGGCAATTCAACTCCCTCTGCAGAGCTGTCACCGCAGAGCCCTGGACCAGGGCTGAACCCAGCTCCTGAAAGCCCTGGGTGAGCTCGGAGCAGGATCCTGGAGGAACAGCTCCAGGCAGGGGCTGGCCCAGGATGCGTTTGGTGACAGGAGTACCGGGTATTGCTTGGCCTGAGAGGACTGGTGCGTAGACAAAGGAGCTGGCTTTACTCAAAATGGGCTGGAGCAGTTTCTCAGCAGGCCGAAGGCAGCGAGTTGTTCTCCACCTTCAGTCCTTTGCTGGCCAGGAAGGCGTCCTGCTTGGGCTCGCGGCCCAGGAACTTCCTCAACATGTCGGAAGCATCCAGGGAACCGCCAGGATGCAGGATGCAATTTCTGTAATCCATGCCCACCTGCGAGGAGAGAGACGGAGGTATGTGTAGGACACTCACCCTCCCACTGACGCTGCCATCTCCTACCACCTTTGGCAGGGGAGGCAGCCCCTGCCACATGCCGAGAGCCCGGCGGTGCCAGACGTCCTCCCTACCTTACAGTTCATGATCCCCTCCTGCTTGAAGCGTGTGTGGAACATATCCATGGAGTACACTTCGCTCCAGAGGTAGCCGTAATACTGGGCATCGTAGCCTCCAGCCAAGTGGCCAAACGTAGCGGGCATGTTTGTACCTTTGCCGCAAAGGAAGGGAAGGGGCGTTAACGGGAAAGGCTGCTAGAACCACTCACAGCACGGAAAAACCCCTCTGTGCTATAAATGTGTCAGAGCAGGTACTGGGTCAGCTTGTTCACCATCCCAGGCGAAACAGGGAAGAACTTTCCAGTTATTTTTGTATGGTTTCAGCCCTGCTTTTCCTGGAGCCAGCAGAAACTGTCCCCATTGAGCCAGTGTGAAGCCCCAGCCCTGAAAAGAACCTGCTGAGCCAAGCTTGCAGGCCAGGCCCAGAGAGACAGCGAGAGCAGGACCCCCAACCCCCTGGGTACCTGGGGTAGCAGGCACGCCCAGCACCTCTTCACACAGCCGGGCAAACACCTCCACAGGGTCGGCCTTCGTCTGGGTGTGCAGTGCCTGGTCCACCTTGGCCAGGACAATCTGGCGCAAGTTGAAGAGCCCTGTTCCCAGAAGGAGGAGGCAAACTGAGCTCCTGCCTGCAGGCAGGAGCGTCTCCAAGGCTGGGGCACAGCAGGGCAGGCTCACACAGTTCTCCCCACACCCAGTTTCTGACCCACTTCCCCAGACCAGTCCAGTTGAGCAGCACCCACTCAGGCCTAAGCCGCATCCCCTGCCTGCGGATAAATCCCTGCCTCCCCTGGCACCTCTTCTCACTGTGCCACCAACCAGCCTGCTGCACGTCTTGTCACACCACCCTCGCTCTTCCCAGACGAATGGCAGGCAGATGTGGTTCCTTCTCCCCCATCCCCTCGGTCACCACAGGGAGCAAGGCAAAGCCCTTCCTCTACCTCGCCAGGTCACTAAGGGTCCCCTTCCCCTCCCCACACACAGGGGACACCACGGCGAGGCTCTGCCCTTGCTGGGGACAGCACACGGACCCTCGCTCCCGTCCTGCCCCTCTTCGCTGGCTCTTACATCCCTCCGCAGGGACCCACCTGTGTTTGCCTGCCGAGATTTAATGAGCTTCTCCAGCAGCTCATCAGGGATGGGGCTTCCAGTTTTGTAGTGCCTGGACATGCGCAGCAGCGGCTCCTTCTCCCACACCCAGTTCTCTAGCATCTGCGATGGTGCCTCGACAAAGTCCCGCTCCACGTGTGTCCCACTGAACATGGCAAACTCCGCCTAGGAGACATGGCAAGCTCAGAGTGGGGTGTCATTCAACCCTACAGGGGAGCACGACAGGGAGAAGGTTAACAAACCAACCCTTTGCCAGCCCAGCGAGGCCTCACCTGAGAGCACAGCTGGTGCATGACATGCCCGAATTCATGGAAGTACGTCTCCACTTCATCATGCTGCAGCAGGGAAGGTGCATCTGGCGTGGGCTTGGTGAAATTGGCCACCATGGCAGCCACTGAGATCTGCCGGCTGGAGTCCGGCAAGAGGCAGCCTGGCTGCAGGCCAAAGCAGGCTGCGTGTCCGTACTTCCCTTCCCTAGGTCAGGAAGAGGAGACTGTTACATGGATCCTCCCCCACAGCCAGCCACGAGCCACTGCAGTCCTGCTCAGAGCAGAAGCCCCCGGTGACCCCCTGCTTCTGGGACAGTCCTGCCTGAGTACACACCACTCCCTCCGCACAGCCACGCGCCTGGGAGCAGGACGGCCCCTCCTCTTTCCCGGGCGCATGGCAGGCTCTAGTCCTGCTGCCCTAGCCCTCCTCCCGCGCTTCACCTTGCCCAAGGCCTCACCGTGGGTACAGGTCCAGATAGAATTTGCCGATGGTCTCCCCGGAGGAGGTGTCCTTCACTGTGTAGAGCTGGACATCCTCATGCCAGACCGGAGCCTTCTCTTCCAGATGGAAGGTGAGCCCCAGCAGCTCCTGGTAAATGGCCAGCAGGCCTGCAGTGACCACCTGCATGGGGAAGTACTCCTTCAGCAGATTCTGGTCCACGCTGTACTTGGTCTCCTCCACCTGGTTCATGTAATAGCGCATGTCCCAGGCATTGATGCGGTTGTCAAACTCCAGGCCACGCTTCTCGCATTCTTTCTTTTTCAGGTCCAGGATCACAGCCCGTTCCTTCTCCCCGAGGGGTTTCAGCTTCTGGGCCAGCTCATCTAGGAAAATCAAGGCAGGCAGGGTTAGTGCCCAGGGCTGAGAGCAGCACACCCAGCCCAGCACACGCCCCTGCTCTGCCCCTCCACAGCCAAGTGCCACACCCAGGAACGTAGCCACTGTCTTGCTGCTTTTAGCCATGTTCATCTCCAGGACAAAGTCTGCATGTGTGTTGAAGCCCAGCAGACTGGCTTTCTGAGCCCGCAAGTCCACCAGCTCCTTGAGGATCAAGCAATTCTCCTGCAAGGTAGAGTCAGACAAAGAGTGAAGTGGGATAAGCAGGCAAGAAAGGAAGGATGAGCCCCAGAGTGGAAAGAAACACAAATCTCAGACAAGACCCCTTCAGTGTCTGGACCTGACCTGGCATCCTGTCTGGCCCTGCTGGCAAGCAGCAAGGCCCACCTACCTCTTTGCACCTGGAGTTGAACATTTCCTCCACCTTCCTCCTCGTTTCGGGCACGTAGCACTTCTTCAGGAGCGGGAAGTAGTGCGGGTATTTCAAGGTGACTTTCAGCTTGCCATCCTCTGTCTTCTCCAGGGAGTTCAGGAAGTCCTCAGGGAGTCCCCCTGAGAAAAGAGCAGACAGGACTGATGGAGAGCCCAGGCCTCTCCAGAAATACCAGCTCTGGGACTGAGCACAGGAATAGGGTCTTGCACGCTGGCCAGAGGAATCCAGGCACTCAGGGCCACACCAGCAGAGAAATACACCCAAGTGCTCCATACCTAGTTCCTCCTTCGAGAAGGGCAAGTAGGTGGTGTCTTCGTTGAGGTTCTTGTTGAAGTCTATGCAAAGGACACTCAACTTTTTCTTAATAGCTTTGATTTTCTTTAAAATACAGATGAAGAGAGAAAAATCAGTCCAAAGGGAGAAGTCAAACAGCGCTATTGCCCGTCTCCAGCCAGCAGCCTGCCTGCCGAATTGCCCAGCAGTCTGCACTTGGCTTTTATTCAAATGCAACGCTGCAGAATTAATTGCATGCAGGCACTGAGCTCTCAGCCTAGAACAGGCTCCCTTTGATCACACCTGGTAGGAAAGCAGCCACCTCAGCAAGGTCCCAGCCACCTCCTGCCAGCTCAGGAGCTGCAGGTGTTTAAGCAACAGCCTCCTCTACCCTTATTTCATTTCACCTTCTCTTCTACTTTTAACGCAGCTTCCAGCTCCTTCACTGAGCCACTGGCCCAGGATATGAGAGGGAGACCCTGAGCAGCTCAGTACCCCTCAGTCCGCTCTCCCCTACCCCAGCTCCAGGGGGGCACCTTCCCTAACTGCCCCTTCGCGTGTGGGGACTGGGTGCTACTTCTACTCCTGACCTGCAGAGCACAATCTGGAATTTCAGCTTCTCAGGAGCCCCTCTACTCCCAGTGTCGATCCCATTTTGTAAATGTCACCCCCTTCAATGGAAAGGAAAAAGAGGGGCACGGAAACATTACCCAGTACACCCAAAGTCACAGGAATTGGGGGCAAGAATCAAGAGTCTGAGCCTCAGTCCTCTGCTCTAACGCTACACTGTCCCGTTAGTCCCACAAAGCCTACTCTACGTGTGCTTACTTTAACGTCTGTGATCTCACCTCCTGCGTTTCCTCAGGGAGATGGAGACCGTTTCTTTTACCTAATTTGATCAGCCTCTCTAGATATCTCTTCGCTTCAGGCTTCAGTGAAGCGCTCTCTGCTTTCTCCTGTAAAACAAAACACATGAGCACAGGGAACTGCAGGACCAGGTGTTGCAGGAAGTTGGTTCCTGGGAGGAGCTGTGGGTTATTGTAATACCAGTGACCCAGAAGTAGATGGAAACACCCCACAAGAAGGCTTTGGTTTGGTGTATTAGTTCTTACCTGATTGCTTTAAACATCTCACCTTTATGCTGTATTACAGCACTTTTCAGGGCACAACCCAGCCCCTTCCCCAGGTGAGGCAGGCTAGGTTTACTAACACGATTTTACCAAAGGGGTAATCGAGGCCCTGGGAGGGGGCAGAGCCCTCAAACCCCCAGCTCCCCAGTTCTCACTAACAGCTGGACCATTCTGCCATGATCACACAGTGATTCAGTTCCAGACCTGACTCAATATCATTCACTTCTAAGTTCTGGGACAAGGAAAAGGATTTGTAATTCTAGGAGGTTTCAGTGCCCTGCTCAGGTGTATCACTGACAAAGCATCCTCCCAAGCACACACCTGGAGCCAGACAATCCTCTGGTACACATCCTGCCTCATGCTCATCTCCACGTCAAACTCTGAGAGCTTCTTATCAGCCTCGGTGCTCGCCGCACGGATGTCTTTGCATGGAGAGACATGCTGGGGGAAGTCCAGCATGTTCCGTCGAACTGGAAAGACAGAAGAGGGATTACGGCGAAGGCAATGGCTTCATGTCCAGAACTTCTTGTGAGTGGGAGTGTACACGGAGAGCCTGTGTTAATCGGGAGCCAGTTTGACAGCCCTGGAGCCTGACCTGCCCGCCCACACAAAGGAAGAGCAAGGCAAGCTGCTGCCGTCAGACAAACCCAGAGCTGTCCTCTCTGAGCAGCGCTCAGTCACCCACAGTGCCTGTTCACCCATTCCTCGCTGATGAGCACCTGTCCACTGATTTCCCACTATAATCCATCGTTCTCAGCAAAGTGAGATCCCAACGCCTTTGCCCCAGCTATAGCTGGTATCAACAGTTTCAAGAATCACAGGAATTCTATGCTGTCAGACACACGGGCAGCATCGTTGCATGACTCCTTTCCTTAGAGGACCAGGCTAAAAGTGGCACACCTTTACTGCAGGCGCTCCTCAAAAGTCACCACATCCCAGGTGTGCTCTGTCCGGACACACTTCCGTTTTAGAAGTGAAAACAGGGAGAACATTCCTTGCCACCATCTCTGCAAAACCTCAAATAATACAACTCCAGTGGGAAGGCACTGCCCTCCAGGCATGAGAACTCTCCACCCAGCAGAAGGTGAGCAGGCAGCTACTCTCTGTTGCCCAGGGAAAGTGCTGACAGTTCTGCTGAAGTTAACATTACCCCTGCTTAGTAAGGACTTTTCCTCTTATTTTAGGAAAAAGAAATCAGAGAGAAGAAAGAAGCTTGCAGGCTGGCTTCTGCTTCATACAGACGTGACACCTCGCAACAGCAGCCGTCAGGACAGCTAACAGACGCCGTGGGGCAGAAGGGGGGCTGCGTGACTTTGGCACTCTACTGCTGTAAATAATGAGCCAGAGATATATCGAAGGCTGCACCATTTGCCAGCACGACGCCATCATGTCACGTTACTTTACACATAATCCCTAAAATTATAGCAGTATTTAAACAAGGCACACGGAGAGACATTTATCCGCTGCCTTAGGGAAAAAGTTAGAAAAGAGTTGAAGATTTCTTAGATCATCCAAACCACTTCTGCCAATGCACAATTTGTTTCCACTAATGCACCTTGACACATAAAAGCAGGAGACAACCTTGAAAACCTGGCTACTCCTCCCGCAGACCATGCTGCTGCCAAAGTGCCATCCTTGAGTTAGACTCGCTCTTCCGTTCCAAATATAAACTATTCTTTGTATTTATATCTAGCTGTATAAACATCAACTGGAAAAAAACCCCCAACATACTGCTGAGGAAGCCAAGGGAAGAAAAAAGACGACAGTACAGAGCAAAAAAAAACACCAAAAAAGTGTTAGTAACAACATGTTGATCTCCAGAAAGCCAGAACTCCCTCTCGGTGTACGTACCCGTATATTCCACTTCCACATCTGCCAGTGCCTTGAGAGTGTTTTCATAGGACACCTCACCCTGCTCCTGGGCGCCCACCCGGTCATACACAAGCTTGGTCCTCTCCGTGAGCTCTGCAGCCATGTTTTCTATCTGTTCGGCAGTCAGGTCCCATCTTAGCTGATTTGCCACCAGCCTGGGGGACTGGCTATCAACAACGTTACCTGGGGGACGTGGGGAGGAAACCCTCTGTGAGATACAGTCTTACACAGCCTGGAAAGAAAATTCAGCTGCATAGCTAAAGCTCGATAAAAGCACTTAAAGGAGAGGCCCAGCAAACAAACCACGCTGACAGGCAACCGGGCTCCCAAGGCACCAGGGCGCTGGCGGCAATCAGCAGCCGGATTATTTTCCGGGCACTGTTTACCCTCTCAGTCATGACAAGCCTTTCACAGAAACCTGACTCCCTCCCCGCTCGCTCCCTTGGCAAGTGCCTCTGCCCACGGGAGGAGGGGGCGGCTGTCACAGCCCGGGGAACAAGGCTGTCCCCTACCCGGGGCAGGAGCTGTGGGGCAGAGAGGTGACAGCGGGGGACAACAGGAGACCACGGCTGCCCTTGCGGGGGGGCTGCCCCCGGCTCCCTCCTCCTTCCCCCACCCCTCTCTCCTCCATCTCCCCCTTCCCAAGCCGCTCCAGGCCAGTCCCTCCCCCTTGCCCTCATTTTGTCCCTCCCC